ACTCACAGCTATTATGGCATCAATGGGTAAAATAAGTCTCTATTTTTGTATATTGAAGTATGAAACCGTAGAAGTGTAGGTAACAAGTGAAATTTGTGTTTTTCCGCGATTTTGCTCTCATAAATTATAGCCCATGTTACTTGTATATGATGTAGCTTCCCGTAGATGAAAGATTTTTTAAATAGGTATAGTAGTTTCAGAGCTTATTCGATGCAAACAAACAAACAATAAAATATATCCTCTTTATAATATTAGTATAGATAAATTTGTTTACAACCTTATGTTTCAAAACCATAAGAAGCCAGTAAATCTATCGTAATAAAATAATTGGCTCTTACTTTAATATCGCAGGAAAATCAACCAATGACGTTGAAATAATGGAAAAGATGATCGCTGCCGGTATGAATATTGCTCTTTTGAACATGACATTTGGTACAAGAGAAGAGCATGTAGAAACTATCAAAATGTTGCGTCAGGCCGCTACAAACTTTAGCGTGACCATGGGGAGAAATTATCCCTTGGCTATTGCTATCCAACTGCCCGGACGGAAGATAAGGACTGGACGAATCGCAGACGTAATTTATTTTATTCACAATATTTTTATGATATTGGACTAAGCGCAGTTTTGCTCTAATCAGAATATAATTATTTATTACTATTGAAAAAGTAAATCAAGCGTACTACCAATATTTAGAAAGGTTTTTTAGTACCACAGGCAAATCCAAAACAAGTATTCTAGTGACCATTTATAATATTATAATATACCAATTATAATACAAGGTGTTAGGAAAACGCTTCCGAATCTTTAACATGGTTATTATACCATATTAATGGAGTCCTACAAAAATATTTGTTTACTTGAATAATTAGTATTTAATGAAATCGTATCTTCTAAGCACGCAATGTAAAACGTACAAATACACGGGTGAACGACCGCGCGGCGCGAGCGCTTTTGATAGTTGCACACATGCATAAACGAGCTCACACAAACACACACAGAGACGATCGTAAGTACTACGTACTACGTAAATTAATTTATTACAATAACCTTTAATTTTATTATAAGTAACGATTAATTTAACCAGTTAAACTTAACATCATGATTTTTATTTTAATGCAAAAACGTACTTACCTGTTCATGTTCTCCGCGGTCTAACTAAGTGTGGCTCGAATTGTGCCCCATTCATCTCAACACAAATTCGAGCCCGTCGCCGCGTCTCTTCGTGAAGTCGAGGCATGAGAGTTGAGTCCTCGATACAACTCGTTCTTATTGTCTCGAATGCACTCACAATTCTTGCCCGCATTTCCTCAGCACTGTCACAAAGTCTATTGAACACTTTTTCTTTAACACACCCCCACAAAAAAAAGTCCAAAGGTGTCAAATCAGGAGATCGTGGTGGTCAGGCTTGCGGTCCTAATCGCCCGATCCAACGGTCACCAAATAGTTCAGTGAGACGCTCACGTACCGGCCGTACCACATGCGGCGGTGCGCCATCGTGTTGAAACCAAGCCCTTCTTAGCTCAGCTAATGATATACCTTCAAGAATTTCATCAAGGCTCTCATTAATGAACCTAAGATACCCAGCTCCGTCAAGTCGTTGTGGTAGAAACACCGGCCCAAAGATAACATTGTTGAAGACGCCAGCCCAAACGTTGACCGACCATCGGGTTTGGTGGCCAGTCTCTTGAGTGGCACGTGGATTGGTTTCAGACCATAAATGTGAATTTCGTCTATTCCACATGCCGTTCCTTGTGAATGTAGATTCATCTGTCCAGATAACATGCTGAATAAATCCTGGAAGACGCTGTTGTTGATCCAACAACCAACGGCAGAAAGTGCGACGACGGGGAAGGTCTTCGGGTATCAAAACTTGCACTTTATGAATTTTGTAAGGCCGCATTCTGTTTCTTCGCAAAACTTTGTACACCGTCCAATGCGAAACTGTGGCCCTCCATTTGGCCGCTGCAGTAACTTCGCAGCAGTCCTCGTGCCCAAACGGGGGTTGCGTTGGATCACATCGAGAATACGCTCCTCGGCTGCAATGTCTATTGGTCGCCCACCGCCGACCGCCACCGGAACGATCGGTTGATTCTCCAACAGTCGTTGAAACGCAGCAGTAATGGTTCGAGAGTCTCCTGGATGATGCACATTAGGAAATCTTTCCCGGTAAATTCTCAAAGCTAGAGAAGCATTGCCACGTGCTGCTCCTAAACACATAACCATGTTCCTATACTCACGAGCACTGTACACATACGCATTAGGCATGATGAGATGCACTTATTGTCTAATAAAACTTAAAATAAACAATAAATAAATAAAACACGCTCAACTAAAAACTATGATAACTAATTTAACGAAATAAACTTTAAAATACGCATTCGCAAACCGAGATGGAAAGTTTTTTGCCACTGGTCGGCCTCATGCCTCGCTCATATCAAAGAAGCCGCGATCATTCGTTCTTCGTTTCTTCCTACTGAATATTCGAGTGTTGCAACTTTTTTCACCAAATTCCCAAAATTGTTTTAGAAATGAAATCTGCAATTGAATGGATTGTGCATTACGTGTTCGATCAAATTTATGTTTTAACATTGTGAATTATTACAAGAACTGAAATCGTAAGTAATTTTTAATAATACCGAAATAAACCAAATGAAAATTGTCTGAAAGTGTACGCTATACTAAATTATTTTTATGACAAAATAAGTAAAATGTTTGAAAGAATGTTGTGCATCATTAATAATTGTTTTCACCGTATCCTAATAAATAAAAGTAAGGCAGAGAAATTATTATCCGGGTACCGTTTTTGTTAACCGATTGGCAGGAACATTGGCTAACGTAACTTAACCAACCTTATTTGCGACGCTCTTAACTTATTGTTATACGAATAAATTTTTAAAAGTGATTAATGTTATTTCAATAACATCAACTTAAATTTAAAAAAAAATATTTTAATAATACCATGTAATCAAAAATATTAAAAAGATAGATAGATATTTAAAAGATAGCTTACCTTTCTTTAATATCATACAATTTTTATGGGATTTATCCCGTAAAAAAATTACCCAATTAAGGGAAAAAATTAGAGCTGGCAGCACGTGTAGCGGCAGCATGTCTCAGAAACCGGAAGCGGACGGATCGGAAAAGTGAAGCGGCATCTTTTACAAACACACTCACCGGTCACTGCGGTTCGCAATGATATCTAGGGCTGCCACTCATTTCACTTAGCAACTTTAATAGTAATTAATTATGTGTTTAGATTTATAAATAAAGTTTGTCGTAAAAGTACTAAGTGAAGTTTTACAATTCAACATCGCGTTTAATCATGAATAACCCGATAGGATTATACTATTGGGTTAGTCATGCAAAGTAAGTATTTATTAAGAGAAACAACTATTCCGCTTTTTTATAGTTTTCAAATTGAAACAAGAGAAATAATTATGCTAAAATTGAATCGGGAAAAAATTCAATTGGGACTCCCAATAGTTTTCATAAAGTTTACTTTTTTAATGATTTCACACACACACACACTTCTGGAGAAATGAAGTTTCTTATACATTTAGATTTTGATGAAATAAAAATGATTTAACACCTTCCCCTCATTTTAATGAAATGTATTTATCTGATCTTTTTGTGTTTTATAAAACCTAAATAAATTACTATGCGAGTTAAAAGATATCGTTATTAGTTACATGCTCTGAATAAAATCAAATGATTTTTGTCTTAAACTTTTCTGCGCTAACGTAAAAAAAACTCATTAAAATAAAGCTCACATTTTAAAGACAAGTAAATAAAAAAGTGCACTTATCAAAATCATGTAATGTAAGTTTTATTTTTTAAAATTTACAAAGATAAAAATTTTGTAAATACTAGAGTTACTAAACCGTTTTGAAATGTTTAGTCGAAACAAATGTTTTCCAGAAGAACATGCATTTTATCTAGTAGGTTATTCAAAAACGATATTTACTCATTAAAAAGTGGCACCCCTTAACACGGAAACACTACCGATTGATTTTGCTTTACACTACTAGATGGCGCTGCATCTATCATTCTCATTCGCTATATCATCAAAACCGCCGCGATTTGCCGCTAGATGTATCTAGAAGTTTACGAGCTTGGCCTGCAGTATCTTCGCTCTCGTTTTTACTTATTGTTATTGCGTGAAAGGGAATGATCATCAATAAATAACAATTTGAAAAAATAACAAAACGCCGTTTTAAAACTACTTTTAGTAATTGCGTTTTCATTGCATTTTCTTAATAAAACACAGGAAAATGGGTACCTAAACTAGCAACGTAGAGAACTAAGAGCTTTTCGTCGCTAGATGTCGCTGAAGTTTCTCACTCGTATCTTCTGTCTCTTTTCATTCTACCAGTGGTGAAGGAAAAAGAATGAAAGTGCCCTTTGAACGTACCAAAGGTTATTGAACTCTCGGGGTCGTCTACCGCCGATCAGCTGATTTTTTCGAGTTTTAATTACATTGCGTTTTTATGGAAAATCAATAAATAGACAAATTTATTGATAAAAATAGTAATACTTAACTTATTTTACATCGCTAAAAATGAAAAAAAAAAAATAATAACATATTTTTTTGCAAAATAAAGTAATAATTTTTTCATTGCAATGTATCCAGAATCACTTACTCTATCACTGGTTTTCGTTTTCGGAAGCGTTCCCCTAACACCCAGTATAGTATTGTGAATTGACTATAAAATTTTATATGATTTACAATTTCTTAATAATGAGACGTTTGTTTAATTATATAAATATTACTTTTACTTACAATAGTATAAAGTTTAGACATATACTTGAAAATGATAAAGCAATCCATTTTTAGAGTTATGGAGAGACAGTTGAATTAAAAACTGGCGAAGTTGTAAGACTAACGACTGATGAAACTTATAGAGACAGATGTTCAACTTATACAGTTTATGTGGACTTCATGTATTTTGCTGACCAAGTTAACAAGGGCAATATAATTCTGATTGACAACGAATCGATAATGTTAAAAGTTGAAATGATTTCTGCTACAACTTTGACATGTAAGATAGAAAGAGGTGGATTTTTAGGATCATACAAAGATGTATTTGTGCCAAATGTTACATTCGCAATGAGTAATTTTACGGAAAAGGATAAACGAGATATAGAAATGGCCGTAAAAAATCAGGTATTTTACCTTTTTTATCATAAAATTGTAAATAATACAGCTTTCTGCATGTAGAATATATTTTTGTCATTACAATAGCATCAAAGAATTATAAAATAAACAACTGATTACATTATTAATATAATAGCAAATTCCAGGTTGATATGATCATCCAACAATTTGTAAATACAGATAAAACTCTGTTGGAACTACGTGACATGTTAGGAGAAAAGGGAAAGAAGATTATGATAATTGCTAATATACAAACGATAGAAGGTTTTAAGAATTTCGATAGTATAATAAATGTAAATACCCAATCAAAATTAAAATAAAATGCTGTACTAAATATAAAACAATATTAACATACGATTTGATATTTCCAGACAGCCAATGGTATAATCGTAACAAGACAAGAGTTAGGTTCAGACATAACTCCCAAAAAGTTAGTCATAGCGCAAAAAAATATGATAGCTCGGGCGAATAAGGTACTTCATTCCATCAGATTAATATTTTCATTCTCTAGAGTAATAACATATAAATTTCAATTGAATTTATGAACTTTTAGGCCAATATTCCGGTGCTTATTAGTGCCCACCTTTTAAGTAGCATGCGATACAAGAAGATTCCGTTAAGAGCTGAGCTATTAGACATCGGCAATTGCATTCTTGATGGCGCTGATGGTCTTATCCTCACTGCAGAAACAGCTGTAGGACTATACCCTGAAGAAACGGTTGCTTATTTAGCTGGTGCTTGTAAAGAAGCTGAAGCTTGCGTGTGGACCAAACAATTATTCTATGATCTAATAGAAAAGGTATTATAAAAGACAGTTCTTTATCTTTATTGTAAGATATTCATCACCATCATCAGCCGGAAGACGCCCACTGCTAAGCATAGGCCATCTCCATAGATTTCCACGATGAACGGTCCTGCGCTGAACGCATCCAGCGGCTTCCCGCAACCTTTATAAGATCGTCGGTCCACCTGGTGGGAGGCCTACCCACTACCTACTGAGCGTCGTTCGGTACGTGGTCGCCATTCCAGAACTCTTCTGCCCCAACGGCCATCAGTTCTTCCCACTATGTATCCTGCCCACTGCCAATTAAGCTGAGCAATTCTTTGAGCAATATCAGTAACGTAAGTTCTCTTACGGATCTCTTGATTCCTAATTCGATCACGTAGAGAGATACCAAGCATTGCTCTCTCCGTTACCCGCTTGGTGACCTTGAGTCTTCTTATGAGACCCATAGTGAACGACCACGTTTCAATTCCGTAAGTCATCACTTGCAACACACACTGATTGAAGACTTTGGACTTGAAACACTAAGTAAATTTGGACGCGAAGATTTTTTGTAGCTTCCCGAACACTGCCCATACGAGCTGAATTCGACGAGAGATCTCTTTCTCGAAATTGGACTTGCCTAGCTGGACTGTCTGTCCTAGGTACACATAATGGCCGACAACTTCAAGAGTAGTATTCCCAATTTTAACTGGAGTGAATGGACAACATGGACGTTTGACATGATTTTCGTCTTATCCATGTTTATCTTAAGACCCACTCTTTGGGATGTACTACTGAGATCTACAAGCATGTTGTTCAGGTCTTCCGAGGTTTCAGCCATTAGGACTACATCATCAGCAAAGTAAAGATGTGGAAGATAATCGCCATTAATATTGATGCCGTATCCTTTCTAATTCAGAAGCTTGAAAATATCCTCCAACACAGCAGTAAATAGCTTTTAAGAGATATCGTCTCCCTGCCTTGCGCTACGCTGCAATTAGATAGGAGAGACTGCATCACCGCCCATGTCTCGATCGAATCAAAGACTTTCTCGTAGTCCACGAAAGCCAAGCAGAGTGGCTGCATCGGACTTCTGTATAACTTGCCGTAGCGTATAAATATGGTCTTGTTATAAAAGTTAATCTTTATTTCAATTGCGAAAGACAAAAAAAAATTTTATTAAATATATGACGAATTCGTTAATACACATAACTTTTCATGTTATTTTAGACACCACTACCTTGTGATCAAGTTACTGGGACAGCTCTAGCAGCAGTTCTGGCAGCTCAAAGAGTTTTAGCAGCAGCGATTGTTGTTGTAACTAGTACGGGGAATTCTGCTCAAGTGATAGCGAAGTACCGACCAAGATGCCCCATTATGGCAGTCACCAGATACGCGCCTATAGCCAGGAAATTACATTTGTGGAGGGGTATCATGCCTATTGTTTATGAAGGTTAATAAATCATATATTCTACGCTGCTCTTAGAAATATTTAATTTTAGTTACTACAATTTGTGTTCGAAAACAATTTGGTATCTAATTAATTAGATCCAAATAAATAATACAAAAAGTCTATGTTTATAGCATCTTTGATAAAACATTAAATTAGGTCTCGATAGTAAAACAACATAGTCTTCGGGCGACTACGGCCATATCGGTCATTTGATTATTCTAACGTCTAAAACATATTATAATAAATATATATATACTAGTAAAACATTGCGTCTCAGTTAATTACAATTAATTTATTTTTAAATTATTTTCTAGAGTCGCCTGATGTCGATTGGCAGAATGATCTTGACAAAAGGGTCAATTATTGCATAAAATGGGCTATCGCTAGAGGCTTTGTCAGAATCGGCGATCCTGTTGTTATTGTTTCTGGTTGGCGACAAGGTTCTGGCTTCACAAACACTATGAGAATTGTATACGCTGTAGCTGAAGGTTGACCAATATTTGTTATTGTTAGTTCATATACAATATCATTAGTTTAACATGATTTTAGAATATCAAAAAAAATGTTTTTAATATTTCCCTTTTTTTGGAAACATAACTTTTTAGCCGGGTCTTATAAAAAACTTATCAGATCTCTTATAGAGCAACATTCTACCTCTATACTCTCTAACTCTATAAGCCTTGTCTTCAGAAACTCTACACCTTATTCAAAACATATTGACCATTTCGCAACCGTAAAAAGGACATAAAATGAAAATGTTATTGAATATTCATTACTTTTCTGTTTACCATAGATATTTTTTGTAGAAACCCCGTACATGAGCTCCATGGGGTGAGATAGCGCTGAGTTTAAGTGGGTATGCCCCTGCTATATAACTAGCCCCATTCTGGAGTGGGTTCGCAGGGGAGAGTCCCATATAACCCATCGACCCCACCTTAGGGGGAAGCGGGTTTGCGTAACGCATTTATACAAGAGATTTGATAACATGCGAATCATATGGTCTCGAATTGACCGCACTTTACATAAAATTATTTTTGATGGGATATTTATAACATGTTAGACATATGTTAGTATTAATACGCCTAGAAATAAAAGCGCAACAATACAAGTTACCTAATCTAACGAAACAAAGAAAATTTTCTCGTTCAAAGGGTAGGTAATCAATTTAAATTACAGACAAATCTCATTTAAATTGAATTTTTAAATTAAACTGTCTAAGTTATTAGCCGTGGTCTTTCAACCTTTCATTAAGCAAAAATGTTACCTTTAGCAATCGCAATTATTTCTAATTCCGTCATCCCCCGACGAGAATCGAATTAAGTATACAAATAGGCGGAAGCGTCCTTGTCGCAAAAGCCGAGAATCCGGCAGGACAAATTGTGCGTAATCTCCTAGAATCCTCCGCAAAAAGGTGAACGCCTCCATTATGAATAACTTCCACCGCCCTCATCTAATTTAACTTGTAAACATTACAATTTAGGCTTCCATCTCGACTTGATACCTTCAAAAGTGTTATCCGCTACCTTTATTCCCGCATTTTTCCTTTTTTTATTTGCTCATTCTCCCTCTTTTGTTACGAGTCATAACTTAGTATAGTGATGTACATTAATATTTTGTTTTATTTAAAAAAAATCAAAAAGAATTTAATTCGAATTTACAAATTAATTACATGCTATGTCAAATATTCTGGCTTACATTACAGTACAATGCCAGACATTTCCGAGCCTCACCTAGAGCGTTGAATAACCGTCGTTAAGCACCAAGCTGCATATTTTATCCTGAAGTAGCACCATTAAATTGGATTCAGTGGAAAGCATTCGGTGCAAATTGCCTTGTTCCTGCAGCTTTGACAATGCAGGTAGCACTTATATAGTTACCAAATATTCCAGATTATGGTACACCAAGTCAATATCGAAATTATGTTAGGAAATAAAAAAATAAGGGATAGATAGGACTAGATTACTTTTCACAATAATTTTTCAATTTAATTCCTACCAGAAACGAAAATCATATTTAAAAAAAATCATAGTACCATAATAATTGTATCAAATAAAAATAGATTCAATAATTATATTTAATTTTGTTCAACACTCGGGAATGGATTAATTTATTCAATATAATAAACCATTTACACAAAGCCAGTAGCTGAAAGGCCAGTTAACCAGACTATTATGGATAAGTGGAGATAATCCATAAGTCATAAATCAAGTCAGTCCAATGAAATAGAACGATTTTTTTTTACTGGACTAGCTTATTGGATTGTTTCGGCTACTGGCCTCGTGTAAATACTAAATACATTTGAAACGTCCACCCGTTGCGCGTGAAGTGGAAAGAGATGCGTACTAATTACTGACGCTTTAAAATTCATATTATGTAATATTTCAAATATTATATATAAACCCGCTGCTGCTTAAAACAGACGATAAAAATAAATTAAATAATCTACCTTATGAAAATTCAAGTACGATTCCCTTTAAAATACAACAGCAGATAGCCTGTGACTGCAGCAGTGAACAATGTCCTGGTATCTAACATTGAACTGGCGACACTAACGGTAACAGCGAGTAATTGCATCCGTTACAGACGATATAGTCCGAGACTGACCTTTGTTAAAAGTAACGTTGCCATGGCAGGTTGGAGTTGTTCTCGAAAATATACCTAAATGTAGACTACCTAAATGTAATCTTAGTTTTAATTTAACCTTAGCAAATTTTGTGTTGGTTAAATACTTGTTGATATACTACGATTACCGATATTAATTAATTAAATAAAGTGTATTGTAGCTCGAAACCATATAAGACTTTTCCACACATTTTTTAAAGACTTTCTTACTTGCTGTCTATACGTATGACTGAAGGTTATGATTTGTTTTTTAAATAGGTAAACCGACTTCTAAAAAACAATACTTAAATAGACGTCTAAAATGTGGCTCATAAATTCAAGACACTTCTCTTGAAATCGATTGGATAAAATTACTAGTATATTAATACCTACGCTATTACTATATTATTATTTGTGGTTAGTATTAAGTGTGTGATTAAACAAACCTGAACTACTTCAAAGTAGGTTAACGCCCAATTTTTTATCATAAAAGTACAATATATAAAAATTCCGTAAAAAATATGCTTTACTATGTATTTCTATGAACGATAAAAGTAAATTCCAGTGACCGTTAGTCAAAAATTACCCTTTTGCTGCAAGACTGTACATTTCTGGGTGTGACACTAACACCTCCTATTTTTCGATTCCTGTTCGGTTTCATTGATTAACTTACACCATACAGTGCAATATCGTGCACTACCTAATACTTCAAAAATTCCTTTTATAAAATTGTTTCTAGTAAAGTATTAGCTATCAAAAGTATGACTATATACGCCACACACAATGAAGAACCGTCCATAAAAACTACGGCAACATATGAAAATCATTAAAAATTTATTTCCGTAGATATGACGTTACACTTATTCAGAAAATTCTTCGATTTATAAAAGTATTGTAACAAGTCCTAATAACGGTCTCTCACATTGAACATAACATGTTACCTGAAATAATTGCTACGTGCGAGTTGTGTCAACTGGCTCGCTGTGTGTTAGCAATGTGAGTACACCAGAGAGGTTACATAAATTCAATTTAGACACCTGTGAGCTGCAAATTGCCTCGTCGACCAACGAATAGAGTTAACCCTTTGACGCCAATCAGCGATGCTGTTCCGTCACTTATATCGTCCGTGACGATATTCCGAATAGCTCTTGAAAATCTATGGGTACGAAGTCAATATAAGCTAGATACGAGTATACATATAATTCACTGTTTCCAGTTAACTTACTCGACAAATATGAAATTTCATATTGAAGATGATGATTTCATATTACAGATGAAATTGGCAAAGGTTTCAACTTTCTTAGTCAAATATTTCCTACATTCTGAATCGCAGATTTAATTTTAAAACTTAAAATAGTTATATTTTGTACCGACTTCAAAATCCAAAAGGAGGACTTTACATGTTCGATGGCAATGTATTTTCATCGATATTTCCGCCAGTCGTTGATCGCTTTTTAAAATTATTTATTCGACAGCTTAATGGGCCGAGGTGGTCCTATTTAAATTTTATCGAAATCGAATCAGTAGTTTTTCTTTTATAACAAAACAAAATACGCTTTTCACATATTACATACAACACCTAAATATTTATATAAAATGTATTGTAATCGTATTTCATGTATCTCAACTAAAAAACAAAAGATTGCATATTTTTAAATTCATCCAAAGTCCGAAAGGAGGATTTTCTATGTTCAACGAGTATGTATATTTTTTAATACTTTCAATGGTATGTTAATCGATTTCTTCTTGAATTGTGAACCAATTTCTATCAAAATAGCTGTTTTCCCGTGAGTTCGCCTGCGTAATAAGTAGTCTATGTCCAACGCGTACTATGAAGCTTTCCACAGATAAAAGAATTTTATAAATGGGCCCAGTAGTTTCGGAGCCTATCCAATGCAAACTAACAAGCGATCTATTATTTCCTCCTTATAATATGAATATAGAATTATTGGATAAAATTATGCCGAGTAATTAAACAAAATCTTCTTTTCTAAGACTTTCAATGTGTCGAATATTTTTATTTATATATATCTACACTAATATTATAAAGCGGAAAGATTTGATTGTTTGTTTGCAACGAATAGACTCCGTAACTACTGGACCGATTTTAAAAATTCTTTCATCTACGGGAAGGTATACTATATATATATATATCTTCATATTATCCCGAAAAACAGCAAATAAATGGATGAAAATGGGGGTGGAAGTTTGTATAGGGAATGGAAACGTTACCATAGTAACGATTGTTTACTATTCAATTTGACATTGTAATTATATCTGTGCCATCGTGTCATAATATGAATCAATATCCAGATAAACAGTGCCCTAGGGACCACGCGGACTATGCTGCATGCGGAAAGCTAGTATTTAATATTGTTACCTATTACTTATATAAAAAATATCAATATCACTAAAAAGCATGAAATATAAAATAGAGCCGACTTCAAACTTTAATAAAGTAATAAATAAACTTATCTTAAAAGCGACATAATATTCAAGATAATACTATGATCGGGCTCCTATAATTTAAGAAGAAGAACTTTGCCCGATTTCAATAGCATTTCCTCGATTTTTTTTTAGTTTTTAATACGTGAGCTCTGAGATTTTTATACGGGTATGGTTCAAATTATATGTCATGTAATGTACTCAAGAGTCTATTAGTAGCAAAACATGAAAATTTCGTAGTAGGTAACTATAGGCGTAAAGACGCTGCAGTCACATATAACCTAGTTAGATGCGCAGCGTTTACTCTATACTAAACTGCCGTTTCAAAGGAGCCCCTAATGATTGCATCGGCAATGCGATCAACATACATGTATTATAAGTATGATAAAGTGATATCACGGTAAGCGGAAAAATTCTTTAAATAGTGCTAAAACTTTAAAGTTGATT